CCCCCCCCCCCCCCCTCCCTCTTCTCCCCTAACCAATGAGTAATCAACTCTGTTTTATTTATTTATTTATTAATATTTAGTCTGATTTGGTCCAAGTTCAAGTTCTTGTGAGGTTAACTTGTTCGGGTTTGGATCAGAGAAAACTTGGTTTTCGCATAATGGAAGAATGATGCTTTCGGTGACAAATAAACTTTGAAAGGAATAAAGATTGAGCAATGAAGATGGTGATGGCGTTTTGCAGGCAAGTCAAAGAAGTTTCCTTCGAACTTCAAAATAAAAGAATAATAACTAAAAACCAAAATAAATAGGATTTTCTGACAAATCAGGGCATTCAAGAAAGTAACAAACAGTGTAAATTTCACAAAAATCCTCATGAACTTTGGGCTGTTTTGCATAAATCCCTATTGAACTTTAAAAATTAGAGAAACCCTTATGAACTTGTTTCGTTAAAGGACCATGACCAGCAGGCAGCGGAATTTGATTTAAGATGTCATATGCCTCAAATGCGACATATTTTGGATACTTTAGCTCATATGCAATTAATATATTTGATATATCATCATCTTCCACCCCCTCCCTCTTCTCCTGTAACCCATGGGTAATCCAACTTTTTTTTTTCCTTTAGTCTGGTTGGTTCAAAGCCTGCTGAGGTTGGCGGGTTCGGGTTGGATCGAAACTTTGGGAAAAGATGGTTTCAGCGTAATTGAAGATTGGGGCATGAGGTGACCAATGAAGAGGTCCAAGGATTTATTGAGAGGTTGAGCAGTGAAGGTGGCGCTATGCAGGAAGACTCCTATTTTTTAGGTACATAATAGAATAGATGGTGCTTTAAACGCTTAGATAAATAACATTTTCTTGCACAACTGTTATATATTTTAAGCGTCTAAAGTACATGGTACAAGAAAAATAAAGAGAACAGTTGACCATCATAATGCAAAAAAGGACATTCCAATTGTTTATCTGCAGTAAATAAAACAAAAAGACAACTGTGAGAAAAGAATGAAAAGAATGAAACTAACATCTAGTCGTTCTCGTACGTGATTCAAATTTATGAAAATAATGAAACTAACATCTAGTCGTTCTCGTACGTGATTCAAATTTATGAAAAAATAATAATAACGAACACTCCAACTGCCACCTTTGTTTCCGAGTTTTAAGTGCCCATCTTCCAATTTTCATGGAATCAAGTCCTTACTTTTGTTATTGAGCTACCAGGTACAAGCCTTTCACCTAGCTAAGTGCATAACTTAGACTAGGACAAAAAATTAATAATAATAAAAATACATTGAGATCATAAACCAATATCAAACAATGCGCTAGTATAAATTGCACACATCATTATCAGCAGACAGTCTAAACTTTTTACCAGAGATGTTCCTCTTCAGTCATATGAGTTACTATTTTTAGCATTTAGAGCCCTTTTAGAAATTAGAGCTGAGGAATCAACATAAGTACAGAGGCAACCCACAATAACATTTTCGACTAGACCCATGATCCAAAATTAAAGCATGGTACCAGAACATTATCTTGCAATAATTACATATTTACATAGAGGTTCAATTATGAAGGGATCTCCATGTTAAAACGTACAGGGGAATATAGTTTGATTATGTTATTCTCAAGAAATTAAGCAACGCATATCCCTTTTTCAAACACAGGGAAGCACCTAGCATATCTGAAAAGAGTAAACAGATAAATAAATATCCAACTGAGGTTCTTTGCTCAGATTTTTGCCATTACACAAACTAATGTGATACACAAGATACTGTCTTATGGTTGAAAAGAAGCTTAGGACTTTCAAACTCAGTATGTCAATAATTTACCCTTACTTGATAACAATCTTTTTCACCATTTCGACACTAACTGCTTTCATGCAACATAAGAAACAAATGCTGGCAAACAAATTTCTAATTATAGAACATGCTAAGGCAGCACCACCATGATGTGCCGCGCGAATACCATGGAGGAGGAGTGGCAAATAAATAATTTTACATAAATAAATATAACGAAATTCAATAAATTTGCTAAAGATTTTGTTGTTGTTTCATATTCCTAATTCACTGCATTAAATATTTTTTTCCTTTGTGCTGAAGTATCTTCATCATTGCTTACTTTGAACTTTGAGAATAAAGCATAGAATACAAACCCTACCCTAATAACTCATTAAAAATTGTAATTTTGTATTAGACTCTATATTCTTTCTTAATTGTATATTAGGCCCCCCAAATCTTCATATTTCTAATTTACGACCCCAAACCAATTACTTCCAAGAGCCTAACCATACTATGGACCTTTCCAACCGTGCCGCCGTGGTTTTTATTTTTTTATTTTTTTGGGGGGTCGGCGGATCATTTAAGAAGAAGATTGGGTATAGACTACTAAATTAGAAACATGAATATTTTGGGGCTTAATTTTGCACTTAAGAGAGAATTTATGCTATAATATGACAAAAACTCGAGAATTATTACTTTCAACAGAATAACAAGTAGTAAAAGACCAATCCTACATTTTTAAATATACGCGTTGAATAAGCCAAAATAAAACAGAAAATGAACCTGCAAGCTGAAATCGGCGCCATCGAACTTCAGCTTCTCCAGAACAGAGAGGCAAAAGTCCACCGACTTCTCAAGGATCACCAAAACCACCGACTCTCCGCTCTCCGCTGCTCAAAAACAACCACCAATTAGCCCTAACAAAAAATCGCAACAAAAAACTTCCAATTGCATCAAAAACAAAAGCAAGACCTGAAATCGAGAGAGAAGAGCCGACGAGCAATTTGGCGGCGGAGATGACTGCATCGATCTGAGACGCGCTCCACGATTCCAACCCTAGCCGAGCTCCGGAATCGAGGATCGCAAGGAATCGAAAGAGACCGGGCTTGATCGAATCGGAGCGGAGGCGGTGAGCGAGATCGCGAGGGGGAGTGCGATCCTTGAAGAGGTCCAAGAGATTGGAGATCTCTTCCATGGCGATGGAGAGATCAGTTCATGAGAGAAGAAGATTCCGATGAGGGTTTTAGAACGAAGAAGATGGAGAGTAAAGAGAGACTTATATTCGCTTTTATGTCGGTTTAATTTAATGTTTTTTAACTTTTTTTTCCTTTTTCTTTTTAATAATTTTAGCTTTTTGAGGGGTTTGTGCTTGCTGATTGGACGATGATTATTTTGTTTCCCCCGCTTTAATTTAATCCTTCAGCCCGTGGAGCTCAAATTTATTTATCAAATTTTTTTTACCAGGATGCTGAAATTTATTCGTGCAGAATCGAAATTACACTCGATCCAGCAACTACCCGCTATTTACAGTTAAGTCCTTAAGTGGGATTAGAATTGATATACGGTGGTGGGCTGATTAAATATAATCTGGTTAAGGGCTTGTGAGCTAAAAAAAACTAGTCCAATGTAAGATTTTTAGAGCGCGGTATGCACGTGTGTGGATGGGGTCTAACGAAGCAAGTATTTTGAAGGACAAATTTCAAAATAGACTCTGTTTAGAAACTTACTTTTTAAAAACAGTTCATTTTAAAAATAATTGTCATTTTCGACCAAGTTTTAACCAGCTAGTTAAAACTGAGTCGAAAATGGTGAAAAAACATAAAAATCTTTCCAGGATTTAAAATCTCATGAAATTTATAAGCTCTCGTTAGCCTTAGAAACCCAAGCTTCACGGGATTTGAAATCCCGTGAAGTTTAATATTCACGGGATTTCAAATCCCGTGAAGCTGCAATCCAAAATCAGAGAGCCCACGTTCTCTGGCAAGTTGGCATGCGACTCCACGAGATTTGAAATCCCGTGGAGTTGCAGTAGGGCTTATTTTAAGCCCAACGATATCTCAATTTCACGTTTCCCTGACCCGTTTTCATGTATATGGTTGTGAAATTTCAAAAATGTATATAAGAAATATGCACACATTTTGTGCATGTTTTGTGGGAACCTGCAGCCCCACGAGATTTCAAATCCCGTGGAGTTGCAGGCCAACTTGTCATAGAGCGAAGACTCTCTAGAGTTTGGTCTGCAGTTTCACGGGATTTGAAATTCTGTGAAGTTTAAGCTTCACGGGATTTCAAATCCCGTGAAGCTTTGGCCTCCCATAATCAATACGATAATGAGGACTTAAACTTCACGAATTTTTAAATCCCGTGAAGTTTTTAATGTTTTTTCACCATTTTCAACCCAATTTTAACCAGGTGGCTGAAAACTGGGTGAAAAATGACAATTATTTTTAAAAATGGGTCGTTTTTTTGGAAATAAGTTTCTAAATGAGTCTATTTTGAAAATTTTGTCCTATTTTAAATTGATTCTTACAATATGAGGTATGTCTCTAAAATATCATGCATCAAGTGATTGTAAAATTAACAGGCTTATGATAATATAACTAAAGACAATGAAAAGTAGATGTTAAAAATATTAAAAAATCATGATTTTTATATTATCATTTTTTTGGGGGTTATCTTCATATGATGAATCAAGCGGATCATCTATTGGAATAGTCTCATTCATGAATCAATAAGGGCTTCCTTATATTGAATCTAAGATGTCAGAATATTTTCTCCTTATTCTATTTGTATTTTATATGAGATTGCGTTGTATATATAAATAAAAACAAACCATTTAAAGGCAAAGTCTTCCGTTATTCTTTTCTCTCGTCTATTTGTTCTCTCTCTTCCCCCCCCTCATTTCGTGCTTTTCTTTTTTTCTTATTTTATATTTGGGGTTTTCTCTCTCTTCTCCGTCTTTGAGGTTGATGTGGATTTTCTTTAAGTAGATATTGTAGAACTTTGTTATGCCTTTCATATTGTACATAATTTTGACTTAATATGCATCATCAACGAAATAGCAAAAAGAATAATATGAATGTCATAGATATATCTCTTGGGAAGAGATAGGATATGAATAATGAACATCATGCATAACACTTGATATAATTTTCATGAAATCGTTTTGTATGCTTTTCTAAGGTTTTTAAAGAAATTATGTGTAGGAAATAAACATTTAAAAAAAAAACCAGTGTAAGTTGGCCATGGAATTTATTATACGCAAAATAGATATATTATTGTATATTATTTGACAATTTTGTAATATCCATGATATGAAATGAGATTATGCAAAATAACGAACAACAATTTTTTTTGAACTATCGCTTTACAGCTTACATTCCAATAGGAATATACATATATACATGTGTGTGTATACGCTAAATTTTGATTTGCAAATAATTAAATTCACGATGCACCTAAATCACTCCTTATGATATGTCTAGAACTTCAATCTCTTTTTCATGTTAAGTTGATTTCCTGTGGAAACCATATTGTAATGTGAGATAAAAAGGGGTTTTAATTTTAAGCCCGTTATGTTATTGTGAGATATTTTCAAGATAACACTCTTCCAAAAATCATTAGTACATAAAAAATCCCCGAGTTATTATTGAATCCAAAATTGGTAACGGACCCCTTTGTAAGCACTCTTACGTCATATTGCACAAATTTAATATATGGTATGTTAGTTTATATCAAAATATAGAAAGTTTAACTAATATTATAATTGTTTTATAATATCTTTCGGAATAAGTAATAGAAGCTAGGAAGTTCAGGGTGTAATAATTATGAAAGTGTGTAAATGTACAAGTAAATTAGAAAAAAAAAATACACATTTAAAAAACTTCAAGTAAAGGTGGTGCTACGTGGACCGAAAAACATGGGATAGGAATAATTTAAAAATATATATGTCAATTTTTACTAGACTATTCCAATTACTATCACGGGTAGAAATTTACTCATTCAGCGCAAACCATAAATGATATTAATTATTTAAATAATTTAAAAATATTTTTAATCATGGGATAGGAAGCCGACATCTCATCAGTCTCACGTAGGATCCTATATTTTTGGGTCCCTGTAGCACCATTTTAAATCAATAGTATTAGCACATATAACTAGCCATAGCTATTCCCCACAATGAATATGACAGAGAATCCGGATTCTAGTATCACTGGCTGACTTACATGGTCACAAAATAATATTATTCGGTAAAATGCAGATCCAAGATGGGCTCATATGTAAAATTACAAGCATTGCAACACACGTAATTACCTCAGATTCGAGGTGCTAAATTGCAACACAGCCAATGAGGAAGGAGAAAGCTAAACGAAGGGTTTAAGCGAGGTTTCGATTCAAAGGCGGCGTCCTCTCTCTCTCTCTCTCTCTCACTCATCAACACCGCCATTTTATCGATGCTCATGATCTCCCTTCTTCCCTTCAAAACCCTAGCTTTTGATGTTGTGCAGCGCTAAAACCCTAATCCCTTCTCAACTCAACCCATTGCCAATCCAACCCCATCCAAACCCTTTCAATTCGATTTCATCCCCAAATCCCTCTCAAATCTCTGCGCAAATGTATCGAACCCTCGCTCGAACAATCCCTCGCTCTACCAAAACCCTCTCCTCTTCAATCCCTCAACTCTCCAATTTCATGGGTTTTCCTCAAAACCCCTCGTCCTCCCATAAAAATCCCATCTTCACTCTTATCGGTAATCCCCAAAAGGTTGAATTTTCCACTTTTGATGGAATTTTGAAGCCCTTGGCTCGAGAAGTTCCCCGATTTTTTACCGGCACACGATCATTTGCTAGCGTTGCCGAGGCTGAGGTTGAGGTTGAAGCAGCGTCTTCAACTGATGCTGACGAGGCTGCAGAGATACAAGAAATCTTGGAAGAGCTTAGCAAAGTTCAGGTAAGTACTAGCAATAATGCTGCTAGTGAAAATACTAATAGAAAAAGAAATTTTGAGAAAACCCAGCATAGGCCTTTGGGAATGGGCACTGGTAAATATGCAATTTTAAGAAGGAGACAGATCAAGATTGAGACTGAAGCTTGGGAGCAAGCGGCGAAGGAGTACAAGGAGCTTTTGGCTGATATGTGTGAGAGGAAGCTAGCGCCGAATTTGCCATATGTGAAGTCTTTGTTTTTGGGTTGGTTTGAGCCTTTTAGGGATGCGATTCTGAAGGAGCGGAAGATTTGCGAGGATCCTAAGTGTAAGGCCTCTCATAGGGCGTACTTTAATAAGCTCCCGGCAGATATGATGGCCGTGATTACTATGCATAAGTTGATGAGTCTTTTGATGACCGGGGTTGGTGATGGGAGTGTTAGAGTTGTGCAGGCTGCGTGCCATGTTGGTGAGGCTATTGAGCAGGAGGTTAGTAAGTTTCTTTTTTTCATGTTGTCGGTATATTCATATTCAAACATGAATTCTTAGGAATACGAATAACAAATTTTAATTTTGTACGAATATCTCACAATTTAATTTGATTTGTTTCCATCCTGTACTTGTATGCACAATTATTTTGATACACTTGTGCTAGGTTGTTGATCAATCTATATTTAAATGTCCACTGCTCTTGGCCTCTAATACTATAGCTCATCTTCAATTACTGGTTGCCATGTTTTTGTTCTGAACCAGGTGAGGATCCATAGGTTTTTGGAAAAAACTAAGAAAAAGCCTGCTAAAGCTTCGGACAATGGTGATGGAGAAGTTGATAGTTCAGCAAAGGAGCAGGAAATTATTCGCAAAAAGGTTACAAATTTGATGAAGATGCACAAGCTGCACCAAGTAAGGAAGATCGTGAAGGGGCAAGATGACTGTAGACCGTGGGGCCAGGAAGCTCAGGCTAAGGTTGTACGCTTCTCCGTAGAATTGTTTATAAATGTTGTTTATTCTAACTGCCAATTTTTTACTATTTAATATTTTGGTATATAGGTCGGGAGTCGCCTTATTGAACTGTTAATGGATACAGCTTACATACAACCTCCTGTTGATCAGAAAGCAGAGGGTCCACCTGATATTCGCCCTGCATTCAGGCACTCACTTAGAACAGTCACAAAGGAACATCAGTAAGTATCCAGACTTTTCCCCTGCTGGAGTAGTTACTCCCTATGCTAACCATTAATAATCAATTGTTCAACAGCAAAATGAGCCGGCGATATGGGGTTATTGAGTGTGATCCAATAGTTCGTCAAGGGTTGGACAGGACTGTAAGTATTTACCCAAGAATTATGTCATCTTGTAAATATGTGTACTTTATAATTTTTTTTATTTTTATTTTTCTTTTGTGAGTTGGTCTGAGAAATTGGTTGTTGTCTATTCACAGGCAAGGCACATGGTTATTCCGTATGTGCCAATGTTGGTGCCTCCAATTAATTGGACTGGGTATGAGGTTCTGAACTTCAATTATTCCTAAAGCTTTTTTGAACTTTAAATTCCTTGTGCATTTTGTGTTGATCGATTGAGCCATATGATAGTGGTGAGTTCTATCGGTTAAAGCAGGCCATCTTCTCTGTTTTTTTAAAGTTATATATCTATTAGTCCTTGGCTTCAGTGGGAAAGTAGGTGTATAACTGTCCAACAAATTTAATTGATTGTTCGTACAGCTAGTCAATTAATTTTTCTGATCTTTTTTTATGCTGTAAATAATTTCTTTCTTATGTGGTTACATCATATGAGACTCTGACTTTGAATTGTTTCATCAGTGATTTACAATCCCTTTCAGATTTAGCTGATACTTTCCTATCTTTTGTGTGCTTTTTTAGTTGGTGTATTCTTTGACCCTTGCAGGACTCAGCCCAAACCTTATTTCTTTCCCATTCTCTACCACTCTTCCAAACATGGTTTAATTATCCAATAAATGTTTGTTGTATTTTCTTATGTGTTAATCATTGCTATTTGGTCTGTGGCAGCTATGACAAAGGTGGACATTTGTTTTTACCATCTTACGTCATGCGTATACATGGAGCTAGACAACAACGTGAGGCAGTTAAAAGGGCCCCAAAAAAGCAATTACAAGCAGTTTTCGAGGTTTGTCAGTATTTGAATATTACTTTTTCAGTAAAAATAAATCTACTCAATTGAGAGAGTTCTACTTCACATTAAGGAGGTAAACAATAGTTTTTCCATCCTTGCAACATGCCAGTCACAGTTAAACCGTGCCACCCCCAATCCACCAGGAAGACTCACTACCACCACCACCACGACACC